AACCTTGTGATCTTACGTTCATGCTATATCTATAGCTATCTAAATCTCGTATACTTCACCACAATATGTGAAACTGTGGATACATCGGAGAGCGTCCTTGAATGAAATGAGAACGTTTCGTTTCACGAATCTTTTGGGATTCCGATCGTTTTATAATAGTAAGAAATAACTATTGTTGTACTGATAGATTAACAGTTATGTTGTTATGAGGAATTAGAGAATTAAATTAAAGCAATTATTATAATTAAAACACATTTTGACGATAAGTTAAAGATCCTAGATTATTGTTAATTTACATAATAAATAATAAATTAATGACGCAATGGAAGCATGCAACATAATCAAAGGTTATCCAATAAGAAATAAAATTCGAAACCGAATTATTTTGTACATTTTCAGCTTTAAAACGTTTTATAGTTAAAAGAGGGAAAACCAAATTGTTCAAAAAACGACGCTACGAAATACGTTTGCCGGCGGCGTGACAGTTCGAAATAAAAATATAAAAATGCAAAATAAAAATTAAAAAATAAATCTACTCAGTGGGATCTCGTTTCGTTTAGTTTAATCCGTGACGTGCACGAGTGGCTTTCGCGAGCCGTACGTGGTGAGTCTACGTATAAACTATGTACATATGTATATATACATATAGATATGTACATAGTTCTCGAGCTGGGTTTATTTACCCTGGGTGTTTGCCCCGAGCGGAGCCGGGCCAGCTGAGTACAAACGTTTGCTTTACCGACTGGATATCGATTAGGGATGCTATCGATACCTAAATCCTATTATCGATATTCAATAATGTGAAGATTGTCTCTTAATTAAATTATTATCGATGGCTATTTGTCTAAATTTAAAAAACCTAAAATTTATGGTGTTTTTTAGTGTTATTAAGTAAAATTGATACAAAGGGTGATACATAAATAAGAGATATAAGGAGTGACTAGAAAAAAAATAAAAATAACGAACATTTTGTTAATAAATGTCCATATTTTTGGAGTAGAAAGATAACCAATGAATATTCTGACATTATAACTATTAACAAAATATTTAGATGAACATTTTATGTTAGAATTTCCACAACTTCGAAAAATTCCAATTTAAATTGTCGATATATTAACGCGCATGGTACATCACTAGTGGTACTCAGTGATGCTGGCGAGGCGAAACCGAATTTCCGAAACGTCTAATAAGTTGGATGTTAACTCTGTCAGCATCGTGTTCGTATGTATTTGACAACACCAGCTAAACTAGAACCATCCACCCCTTTACGTCTTATCATTATAATAAACGATAAGGAGCTGGGAGGGGGGAAATGACGGATCAAGCTGAAATGGTTAATCCTCGTCGCCTGAGTTTCGTTTCGCGCTAGAACTTAGTTCATAGTCTCTTGGGGTATGAAATTAGGGAATGTTTAGTTAGTTGCTGAAACGCAGAGAAATCTAGATGTTCAAACTTAGAATTGTAATTAGAAGCAAGCACCTAGATGGATAAAGTTTTAAATACTGACGTGACATAAAATGTACATATGTACAGTATTGTGGGTTTCATTAGTAAATACGGCGACCGGTTTAAATGGAACGAGTTTGCAAATTAGTTTATTACTAAAGATTTAAATTAGTAAACTTTTAAATTACAATCTACAGATATACAGCTCAATGTCTACTTTAAACAAATAGATACAAAAAATGCTTTTGATTTTAAACAATAATCTTACTAATATTATAAATGCGAAAGTTTAGATGGATGTTTGTTAGCGTTTGTAGCCTAAACGGCTAAACGGATCTCCATGAAATTTGGCACAGGTTTAGAGCATAATCTGGAAGAACACATAGGGTACTTTTTATCCCGGGATAAGTTACGCTTCCCGTGGGATTCATTAATTTAGTTTTTTAATGTTTACTCGATCATTCTGCAACGGTTGAACATATCTTATTGAAATTTGGCACATATATAAAACAAAGTCTGAAGTACACATGGGATAAGCTTCATCCCCGAGGTGTCCGGTTCCCGAGGGATACGTAGCTTTTTGTAATTTATATAGTTCGTATGTTTTCTAATACCACACGGACGAAGTCGCGGGCAACATCTCGTTATTTCTAAATTCAATAACATTTTTGTCCTTTGTTTTTTAAGCTCATGATAATGAAAGTATTTGGTGGTTGTCGAATAAGACGAAATTGACACACAATGAAAATTCAAAATGGACAATTTCTAATTAGAACCATCTCTCTCCTCTTATGTGCGTTTCCTCCTCCGTCAATTAAGGGTAGGCAACGCATCTGTAATTGCGGATGTTTATTGGCAGCGGTCGCTTTCCATTTCGGTGGATTCAAGTGGCCACTTGCTCATTTGCCACCTTATATTATAAAAAAAAATCATAATCAAGAGATATCTCTAACCTTTAGTTGGTCTCTATTTATTTAGTTAGTTTATCCAATTCATTTAGGATTTAGCAAATAATAGTATACTACGACCATGTCATGTTGAATAATGTACAGAACTACGACAAAAACATTCAACAAGTTGGAACGAAGTTAGTTGTTAAAAATATCAGATAGAACGGCGAATAGTAATAAGGAGGGGGTAAGATCGAGGGAGACTGAACGCTAGCGGATTAATAGTCTAATTAAGCAGAAAGAGGAAAAAGAAAATGTTTTAACAAAGTGTAGACGGTCGCGATTCACTTTCCACTGTTTGAGGCAGGTCGGGGAAGATTTTTACGTCAGTTTTCAGTCAGTCTTGTTTCTGTATAGTCGGATTACAGCAGAACGGCTCACGAGAAATAATATTGAACGGGTTTGTGTAAATATGAGCAAATTGGTACCTGTCCTGTTGATGTAAAATATTCCCTATGTAAGTGATAAGGTAGCTTACAAATGGCAAATATTACCTACTGTTAATTTATACTAATGTTATAAAGAGGAAAGATTTGTATTTTTGGATTCTTGTACTATTTGCACTAAGTCACAAATTATTGGGACGATTTGTAAAATTCTTGCAGCATTAAAAAGTTATGTTATCATTGAGGCTATATTTTTTTAATTTCACGTAGACGAAGTCGCGAGTGACAGCTAGTATTACTATATTTCGGTTGGATAAGTTCTTTTTTTACGTAATGGAAAGCGATAGACATATAATAAAATAAACGAAGTCATTTTCTTATTAGATTTTATTCAACGACCAAAAAGCGATGAGGCGAGTATAGTTAGCACCCGCGAACATTGCCGCTTGGAGCAATCATAATGAATATTTTATTTTATCACAGCACCCCCCCGCGCTCTGCCGCACCCCGCCGTTCCGTCCCCCGCTCCGCGCCCCGCAGCCATGAACTTGACACCGAGCGAAAAATTAGTTCACAAGGCGAAAGTGAACTTTGTACAGAGTTTGCACTTTTTGAACGAACCAAGACTGAGAGATAAAAGAACTTGTAGACGAGGCCAACTCCGCGATCCTGACTAAATCTATAAGTTCAAGAGTGAAATTATTTTTTGTCTGTTGTGGATTTTAATTTAATAAACAGCCATATACTGAAACTATATTCAAATATGTAACAGTGTCTTAAATGATAAAGTCATGCTTGAAGTCTAAATACCATTATTTGAGGTCTGATGACTGTAAGCGTCGCTTACGAGCCGAAACATTTAAGATTTGGTTCCTACTTTGGCGTGAAACTACGATATAACAAACTCTTTTATGTATTACACTTTATACTATATCAAAATGCTTATCTTACATAAATAAGTGAAATGTTCTTAGATTAAATACTTGAAGAAAATTAAACCATCCAAATTTTTGGTCAATATGAGTATCTACTTATTCTTTTAAATGTATTATAATTAAGACGATAAAATAAAGCATCAATACGACGCGGCGCCGGCACTGTTCCATTTATTTATAACAAATTCCCTGCTAATTAACTCCTCTACAAGCGCTTAAAGTTACACATAAGCCTTATTCCGCACTCGGGAGAACCCCAACCAAACAGTTCAAAAAGCACCAGAGTGAGGCTACTTGTGAATTAACATACTCCACTCAAAGCTACCAAACTAACCGCATACGAGAGAAAAAAAATTCTTACGTATTTCACTCATTCACTCACTGTATGAGGCTAATTAAAAAAGTACAGAGGTTGGTTTTGCGAGTGGCGTAGTTCCGCTACTCTCCGCTAGGTAGCGCTTTTCGCTTTGACGAGTCTTGGAGGTTTTGTCGGGGGATGTTTGTGCGGTTTCATTTTTTAATGAGGTCGTGTATTCGGGCCTCTGCGGCTGGATAGGCCGCCCCGCGCTTTGTGCCGCAGCACAAATCGCAATAACTGCCTGAGCCCCAGTTAGGCGTGAGCGACGCAAAGCGCCGACATAGGCGCGCTTGTGTGCGTATTGAAAGAGTTACGTTTAGGCTCCCCGTTTATTAATGATGCCGATGGCAAGCTATCAGTCAGGGTTTAAAAGCATATTGTGAAGATACGGATATTGTGTTGTTTTATACTGCTACAAAGAAATTTGGTTAAGGAAAATAGAAACATTATCTTGAAACTAATTAAAATGCCATTTTGGACATACGTTGTATTTATCTAAAAAAATAAGTTTTTTCCCAAAAATAAAGCTTGTTATTTTAATGTTACTTTTTATAATTTATTCAATAATAACTTATTACAGCGACATCTATGTGCGAGACGTTAGTTTCAAGTGAGATTCAAAGATGTCGCTAGTATGTAAATAAAAGCAAATCGGTTTTTCATATGAAGGTAATATAATTTTTTTTAACATAGTTGTTTGTTTTTAACAAAATTGCTTCATTCCATTTTGAGGGAGGATTATCTATGCTAATGTTTACGCGTTTTTTGCTCGAGCAATAGCTCGTAGAATGGTTGATCATCACATTAGTTTATTAAACTTTCGCAGGTATAGCAAATCTTTATAGTTCAAGTTGAAACTTCACGACATAATCATGAAAGAGGATATATTAGTCGATTGATTGACATCTATAAAAAGAAATAATTCAATTCTAAAAATGAACATCTGTTGATGTACGTTGTCAATCAAAAATTTTTTTGGATTCTCCTAATAATATTTACAGTGTAAAAAATTTTGGTATGAAAATGACAAATCTACTGTGTACCCGGGGGTAAAACAGATACAGGATAAAATTATACTGCGATGGTGAGGTGGCGCATGTTCTTGTTGCTGGCCATGCTGCTACTCCTCCCGACACGATCCCACGCCAAGTTAGAGGACGACGACGATGATGAGTGAGTAATGAAGCGATACGAATGTTAATATTATGTTAAAATTGAACATTGAAACCCATGTGATTATAAATTTAATTGCTCTAAATGTTGCTAACAATTTTATCTTACTTTTAAACTTCAAGCGAATAACTTGTAAAAAATCTTTTTTAAATTATTGCCTAATCTGAACGCTAGCAATAAAATATCTTAGGTTTGAATTTTGGAAACTTAATTACTGTATATTGCTTCAACTGTCAAAATGTCAATAATTCCTTTGCTTATTGTTATTTGATTTATATCAAAGATGTTTGAAATTGATCATATTCTTTTAAATAATTTTAATTTTAAATGTAACATACAGATAAAATCTTATATAAACTATGAACAGAATATAACAATAACGAAAGTAGTGCACAAAGAGAAATCAAAAGTGGATAATGTCAATAAAACACAAAATCAATTATTAGTTCTTTATTGCAATTAATTCATATTTAAGTTGACCAATAGATGGCGACACTTGTACTATCGTAAGCAAACTAGCGTAACGAAATCTCGTGAATTACTTTTCGGAGGAGGAATGAGGAAGATGATGAAGATGAAGAAAGCGAAGACGAGGAAGAGGATGACGTAGACGCTTCAGACAAGTCAGACACGGGTCCTGGGAGACGCGCGCCCGCCATACTGCCGACACCAAAGACCGTGCCCGTATCCAGAACGACTCCTAAACGCGCTCTAGAGTGTTACGTATGCGCTTACAAGTCCGAAGCACCACTCAAAGCTTGCTTAGATCCAACAAAATACAGGTAATTTTATACCAGTCTGTATAAAAAACCTTAGATCCTATAAGTCGACTACCATGAGTGTTACAAAGATAGAAGCGACACAGGCCAAAATCGACCACAGAGTAACTTTTACACTTCCGCATTTCATGTATCTACTAGTTACGTTCATAACAATATAGGGCACTAGGTGCCTTATAAGTTACACTGATTTGTAATGATCCTACAGCTATAAAGTACATATAAGCGCCATTATTCTACTTATATGCTGCAACGCTAATTCGTTTAATACTTTAATGTTTTGTTTCTACAGGGTACACACGATAACGTGTCACAGTGTGGACGACAAGTGCTTCACGTCGGTGATAGCGAAGGGCAACGCGTACGAGGCTGTGATACGCGGCTGCCGCTCCGGCTGCGTCGGCTCGCCGGAGACTACCTGCTGTGAGGTAACCAATTTTATCAAGGAAGTGGTTAATACGGTGTTCAATAACTGATCGTTATGGAAAGATATCCACAACTATTAAATAATTTGGTAATACGGTTTCTATCTTTGCTGCACAGTGTATAGAAATAGATAGTCGCTTTTAATCCACTTGGTCTCTATTCCTTTCCCCTTCTACCCATAGATTAAGCGGTAAAGAGAAGTCTACCATATCTATGACTCGAAACAAAATATGTCATGTCACGTTTTTAGTGAGTTATTTCAATAATCATATGGCAACTGAAACATACGTGTATTTACCTACTAGCTTTTATTCTGTCCGCGCGAAATAAAAAAGAACTAAGTAGTCTATGTCCCGTTGAACTGTTTTGGAGATTCCAATAAATATTTATCATCCATCTAAATTTACGCATTTATATTAGTTTATTTTTGCAGTTGAACCGCTGCAACAACCAACCCTTGAATATGCCAGTGGTGGTGCCACATTCGTTGAAGAACAAATCATCCAAATCGTTCCCGCCCACTGTTTTCTTCTTCGTTACTGTACTTTTGTTATTACAAACGGTGGGTAAAGTTGCCTTCGTCTGACATAACTTTATACCGTTCAATCAAATCACATTTAAGAATTAAATCCAATTAGATTTATTCGTAACATAACAGTTTTTCTAATACAATTATATTTTGTTTAAAATGTGGATTGTATTATGAGTTTAAAGATATATTTTTTTTGATTTTATACACATTTATGTACTTATGAAGTAATTCAAATAGATACAAAACTTTTGTGGAACAAGTTGTAAATGTAAGTGAGTGATGTTAGATCTCATCAAAGTTCTGTTTTGGTTTAGTTTTTGTATTAAAGTGTTTGATTTATGGTATGCGTCTTTTCTTTGATTATCTTCATTATTAATTTTTCCGATGTCTTTATCGATTTGCCTTGTTTATATGCCATTAGCGTAATATTAATATAGTAGAGATCCCGGTTTACATCCAATAGATGTCGTTAGCGTGATCTCCTAGTATTTTAGCATAATCAAAAATTATGTTTTAATGCAGTGAACTTTTTTTAATTACCATTAATGTGCAAGGATAGAGAAAGCGTATAAAGGAGGATATAGTACTTTTACGTAATGATTCAAATTTTGAATGCGTAAATTCTGTCTATCTCTGATAAAACGAGAATTTAGTCGTTTATAAATAAAATACTAACTACCTAGTCAGTGTTTTATCGCTCACAGCGTCTGCATTACCTAGGTTGAATGGTGTTGGTAAATTTTTAAGCGAGCTAGGTGGCGGACCTTTTGTCACAAGCGACCATCGTTGGGAGATTTTCTTAGCAACGTTTTTCGCTCGAGATGTACGTTTTGGAGAAATATAAAAGTTTTATTCGAGAAATTTTATCAGATGACCCGAGTATCAACTGTGTTCAATTTACAAGTTATTTCTAACAGAAGAGATGTTTCATAATTAAAAAGAAATCATAATTTATATAAATTAAATGAGTATCGATTAACTCCTTGTTTTAGTTTTAGTTATCATGTTTCTTTAATTTATTAAGTGTTTGATGTGTCATGAGTTTCTTTAAGGTTTATCTATGAAATGTAATTTCTTAAAAATGTTTCTGTAGCATGAAATTGTAAACTCTAGATTTTAAACTCAAGTCAAAACACAATTTGATAAAAATTTTATAGCCAATAAATTCATAAGGGATTTCCAAAGGGAATCCTTTTAAAGCTCTTATGAAAGCCTTAGTAGGCGGAAGGGCGAGGGAAAGGGTCACTCGACCTCGGCGGTCAAGCCTTTCCGCCCAATTGAACCTTCCGGTTAGGCGGAGTGCCAATGTGCGAATACTATGAATAAATCAGCAAGGGTCCGTGACAATATTTGCTGAGAAAAATGTTATAGAGATTTGGTGACATGCGACAAAAATCTCCAAATATTAAACAAAGATTACTATCAGTTTATACTTTATACGAAGTTTGAGAGTAGCCACAGTGGTTAAGAAATTAAGAAGTAAAAGGTTAGCACGGTATAGACATGTTAGGAAGGATGAATCGTACGGAACAAGGAGAACGTTAGTTATGAGTGTGGAAGTACACCGGTAGAGGTAGATCTAGAATGAGATGGATGAATTGCGTGAAAGGTGATATGATTGAGGTAGTAATCACTGAGATGACGGATGATAGAGTTATTTGAAGGACAAAAACCCGGCGGGCCGACCCTACGGGAGTAGGATAAGCTAGGGAGATGACGACTTTAATTTTATAGGAAGTGGCAATTAAGAATATAAATTTGTATCGCTTTTACTGTGCAAATATAAATAAAACTTAATACAATTCTAAGGTTGTCTTAAAAATATTGAAAATATTTGAATTTTCCAGATGAATAAAAGGTAGGGATTCTTCAAATATTTTTCAGAATCTATTAAAATCAATCTGCACCCTAAAGTATGTGCGATATTCACCCACAGGAAATTTCAATAAACCTCAAGCAATTTCCTACCCTCGAGTTCACTCAATTTGGGGTGTCCAGCGTGTTAAGAAGCCAGTTCACTTGTTTCCAACATATGGGGCAAATCGTCCGAAAGGGAGTATTATAGATACCAAAGTATAAATGCACTTACATTGAACTTTATTACAATACAGTATGTCATTTTTTCCCTTGGCTCTATTAATAAGATATTTGTGGTTTTAGTGAATTTTTGAACGCGGGAAAGTTCCGATATCCGCACCGGACTTGGTTGATTTTTATTGGAGAACAAGGGTTCCGACGTGTTAACTGAGATTTGGGACGCGAAAAGTTCGGTCAAACAATGTACGAGGGTGCAAACATTGGTTTGCTGTTTGCGTGTTTGATTTGAAAGGCGAGAGGTCGGTACAACTTTTTACCATCGATATTGAATGTGATCTTTAAGTTTTGCGAATACGTTTTTATTGTATATAATAATACTAATATTTTTAATGTATAAGTTTAGATGGAAGGATGTTTGTTAGAGTTTTTAGCCTAAACGGCTGAATAGATCTGGATTAAATTTGGTATAGATGTAGAGCAAAGTCTGAAAAAACAGTTAGGCTTTTGTGTTTTTTGATACCACGTGGACGGAGTTGTGGGCGTAAGCTCCAATTTTTATATAAATAAAGCAGTTGGTAATAAGGATAGAGCGTCTCGGTGATGATGTGATGTATATGCTGACGTTGACGTAATTTTTTTTTAAAGTAAAAGCTGGTAAGTGTATATCGTAGTCTATAAAGTGGATAGAGTAGGCAAGGCGATATGCATACAGCTTAAGTTTACAAGGGACGTGCAGCGAGATCCAACACACCTGGTGCTAGAAGACACAAAGACATCGCGCCAATGATCGATCGTGTCATTTGGCACGCACCATCGGTCAACTGAGATTTGCACAAAATCGATTTAGTGATGGGAACTTCGTGTGACGTCATAAGATGTCGATAAACACATCAGTTTTGGTAACCATGGTACCGTAATATTATTTAAAACCTTTATAAATATCATACTTCTCTTGAAATGTTTACTCATTATTTTATCTTTTAACTTAAAAATTACTTTTATTATAGATACGCATGTGTATCCTAGGTTGTTTATACAATGTTTTTTATAGTAATTAAAAAAATGTGAGATCTGAAATCGTCAACTGGAAATGATTGCACGTTTTGTCGATACGATAAACATACGTGACATCACTAGCTGATAGTGACAAGTTTAATACGTATTATTGACCGGATGATCAATGATCCACGGGTATTTAGATCAATAAAATTATGCAAAATCATCGTTCGTATTGTCAACCGTTGTTGTGTTGACCGTTTTACTTTATTCGTTGGAATATTGCGTACTTTGTGCTATCGATAATAGTTACGCGTCAATCGGAACTTAAAAAAAATGCTTCGTCATAATAACGGTTATTATGTATTACCACAATACTATGTTTAACGTCAAAATATTAATCATTTGATTGTGTTTGGTTTTAAGTATTTGGTATTTGATTTATTTTAAGCTAAAATAAAACAGCGCCCTTGTCTTTGGGATACCAGGGGAGCAGACAAAGAATGTTCTATTTGCAAGGAGTGAGTAACGCATGCCCGTGCGTTTGTTGCCCGGCGCGTTGACCGTCGGCCGCTCGGACAGACGGACAAATGACTGCATACGTGTCATTTGGCTCGCTGCCAGTGGTCTGAATGCTCGACGTTTTATTTGCCTTCGAAATGTTTGGCTCTTGACGCGTTAAAGCGGGTACTTTCACTAAACTATCGCACAATTGTTGTGTGATTGTCGATTGTTTCATAGCCAATTCAACTGTTTAGTTGCACAACTAAAAATCAAGTAGTTTGCGCACCTCCACTCAAGCTCATTGGAATCAAAGCGAGACTAAACAGTTATGCGATAAATTAGTTTCAGGTGCACGCTCTTACTATATTTAAACGCATTTAGTGTTGTAAAAAAGTTATATATTTCACCTTTAATTACTTATAAGGAAATTGTCAAAGTAGACTTCAATGTAGCCGGATTTGGTGAATTCGACTCAAGGAAATATTTATTATGTGTATTGTGGTTATTTGGATAGATCTTTTTTCTCAAATTCCTATACAAATTGGTATTCTAATTTATCATTTACCAGATATTATGATAGTTACTAAATCTCTACTGTGTTTTTTACATTTTTTAAATCATAATTGTTAATCAAATATATTTAAGATTCAGTACGTAATGTTTACAGGAAGCAATAAAATAGCAAACAAATCGTTCTCAAACAGAATAACTCCTTCGCTTCCATAATTTACATACGAGCTGTGTAAATACTTTGACCGCACGCAAATAAAGTGCATTTAACTCGTCCGAAATTTTATTTCGGGAAGTACCATTAACGATATTTGGCCGTTGGCCGCGTTGCAAAACATTTATCCATAACTCTGTTCTTTGTTCGTTGACCAGTTTATTTTTATTTTAAATTATTATCTGTTGAAAGTCGGAAACTGAACTGGCCAATGTTTTACCGAGCAGAAATCCAGATATTAGGGCTGTGTACATACACACATAAAGACATCTTTAGATGCACAATTTTACTTAAACTAAGACTAAACTACGTTTAATGTAAAGGTAATCGAACTAGAGACCAATAAAAGTCATGAACTTGGTTCTATCTTCGAGCCTTTCTATGTCAGGAATGCGGGCGTCAGTGGGACTAAAACTACGGAAGCTAAGAAGCACAAAGAGGGCATCGTCGATATTGCGATAGGAAATTCACTTATCAGTTTGTGGCCCATCGCCCGCTTTTAGACTAAGTTTTTTGACTCGCGACCTCAGTTGAGGCTAATTTAGTATGGATCGTAATTACGTCGACTTTATCAGTCTTAAAAGCTCTTAGAACTTTGAACTTTTGTCACTGAAATATGTCCGTAAATCCAAATTTGTGTACCAATTTGGAAACCTTATGTGTGTTTTGTTTCGAGGAGTTTCCAGTGTCGTAAAGAAAAATCAATTAATAACAAAGTCGATTCCACAGTGTACAAGCGAGTCTTAAAAGGGCAGTTTCAGACGGCTGTGTGGTTTAACTCACACGGGCATACGGGTCCGGGTCTGATTGAAAAGTTGCTCGCAAACTTTAAACTTTTCAACCACTCCCGTTGTTCTGACAAGTCCACATCTTACAAGTTAGAAGACCCATACATTTCCAAATTTATTTGCACTTAATTTTTGAAACTTTTGTGTCTTGGTATTTTTAACTATCAATTTTATTTACTGTGTTTATCATTGACTTATTTTCATTCTTTGTTTAATTGCGTGTTATAATTATCATGTCTTTTAGTAAGTTATTATTCATGTAGGCGATGTCATAATGAGGGAATAGTATCGGT